ACACACCCGCTGGGGTAGATGTGCCAGTATTTGGTAATTCTCTGATTCGTTTTAGGACGTAGGAGAGCTATTCTTCTCTAACCAAATAAGGTTAGAACTCTGTGCTTATAATAGTATCTGGGATTTCTTTAGAACTTAGCAATTTTCAGAGCACTCTCGCTTGGCATCATGTCATTGGAAGCTTACAACATTCTCAATGAGATTTCCTCCTTGAAGTCAGGGGCTTGTCGTTCCCATTTTTCAGGAGACAAAGCTGAGATACAAAAGGAGTTCATCGTCCAGGGTCCCTGTGTGTATCGTGAGCCATGTTGGTTGGTCGTTTTTAGAGCTCTCGACCGTTTTTAGGCGTGCAGGTGCTGCCTACCTGGAGCAAGCACGGCTCCTTTCTGATGGATAACTTGCTGTTCTCTAGGAGAGGGGTCAGTGGCATCTCTGCCAGAGCCAGTATGTGGCGCTTTTTTGCCACGGTGGTAAACAGAAAATTTTATTCTCCTGTTTTTCATGCCAAAAAACAAAAGTTAGTGGTCATTTTGAATATGTGTTTAGAATCTGTCCCTCACCTAGTCGTGGGAGTGGGCTCTCCCTTAATGAGCCACCCTTCTCCCATATTGTTTGTTTTTTTTTTTTCTCATCCCTGGTTGGCTGGCTAGTGAGCCCCGTCATTTGGAGGACTGCTGATAAGCCTGGATGACCCCCTTCATTGGCTAGTTAGCTTCCCGTCTCAGCCTGCTCACCCACAAATGGATGCCCTCAGCCAGAAAGTCTAACAGCTAAAATCCATGGTAGCTTCGAAGAGAAAACAATTTCTAATTTGTTCTACTGATAGGTTAGGAAACTAAAGCGTAGCTTGTCCTTGTATAAAATCCCAGGTTTGATAGTAGCAGAAGAGATTATTTCTGGAGGTTTCCACGATAGAAATTGAGCACTGCAAGATACGTTGGACATAGCAAACTGTCTAAAGTGGTCTGAGCTTTTAAATCCAGGTGGAGAACTCACCATCCCTCACCTGTGACTGGCATCTGGACCTAAGGGGGCTTTTGGTGTTTATTGAGTCTAGAGACCAGGGGTGCATGCACCTAGGCTGGTAGTTGAATGGGGACACAATTTAGGAAAGAAATATCCAGAGTGTTCTGGCAGCTTCTAAGCTGGGCTCAGGAGATTGAATAGATTAGCTATAACTGAAATCTAGAACTTGCCATCTGCCTCTGAATAGGCTTTCAGGCGCGTACCCCTAGTCCTAGGTTTGCCTCTGGGCCTCTCCGTGTCCACGCTGGCCTTTCATCCCTAACACATTAGTAGCAAGCTAGCCACCTGCAGCCCCTGCACTGGCTCTAAACTGTAGCTGGTTCCCCCAAGGCCTTGGTCACAGTACCAGGATACAGAGAGGAGTGCAGGCCGGCTGCACCCACCCCGGGCGGCAAGGCCGGCCAGCGCTCTGTGTTCTAGGCCAGTCCTCCTAGTAGAGAGGTCCTCTTTCCCTTCAGCAGAGCTCTCTAAAGAACCCTGCCTCCATATGCAGTGGTTTGGAGCTCTTCCCACTCATCATTGGTACATCTTCCTCACCCCATATGAAGCCTGGATACTTGGCACTGCTAAAATAAGGAATTCAGCTTTTCAGTGTCACTACTACCTGGCCTCAAGCAGGGAGATAAACATGAACTTAAATGTCCTTTGAATAAAACCAAAGTGTAAGATGAGCCGCATGAGGGAGTGCTTGGGAGGGCCAGACCTTCGGCACTGGCCCCGGGCAGGTGCCAGACTTTCTGTTGCACCTGCCACTTGTGTGCCCAGCAGCCCTGGGAGCATCGTCCTGCCCGAGCAGAGCCGGGCCTTGCCCTCCTGGAGGCTGACATAGCAGGAGCATGTTGATTCCTCCGTTATGTTGCATTATAACAATAAGAATCAGAACATTAATTTGAAACTGTCTAGAGCAACTTGCTGTGTGCATTTTTCACACCAGTACATTCTTAAGCATCCTTGTTTATATAGAATAACAGAAACTAATCTGTACCTTTATATATATGTACATATATACATGTATAAACTGTATAGTGTACATGTAACGATCTATTGATACGTCCCACACCATCACACGGTTCTCAGCCTCCACATGCCCTCACTTTGTGGTCGGGTGACTTGAATGTGCCCTGACGATTCTGCTCACCTCCGTGTTTGGACGTTTAGGGAAGGAGGGTTTTGGTCGTACCCTCCTTATCCTCACGCACAGAAATGCTCAGGGTCCTCATGTGCCTGCTGTTCACCCCTCTCTTGCCTCTCATTCCCTTTCTGAGCATGTGTTCCTTCCCAGTCTTGTAACCTCTCTGCCCCCTCCCCAGGCTGGGGGCAGCTGCCTTCCTCCTAACGTGTAAAGCAGTATTAACATCATTACTGCATGTGCGCTAAAAACCCAAGTCTTCTGTTCCCTTGGGACAGAACGTTGCATGTGGGGTGGATGATCAAGTTTCTGTGACCCATGTCAGTTACACAGCAAAGCCAGACCCCATAGCAAAATCCCACAAAATGGAAATCAAATTTCTTTATTAGCATTGTGTAAATAAATCTGGATGTGTTTAACTTTGTACTGGTAATTTTCTGTATATTTGCAATATTTGGGTTAGAAATAAAGCAGACTGGACTTTGTTACCTGACCTACCAAAGTGCCTAAGCTAGTTTGTTAACATGACAGGTCTCCCAGTTTTCTAGCTTCAGAAATCAAACTCCAGCAACCAGAGAATAAGCCTGTCAAAGGGCCAGAACTGCCATGGTAGCCTGGGAGGGATTAGGTAAGTTACCGGGGAAAACTTAGGTGGTTCTTGTTCTTTTCGGCCCCGAGAGGTCTAGCTCTCACGGGTGTTTTAGGACCAGCTTTCCTGCTCTTACCCCACACGCCATCTCAGGCTGTGACTGCTACCCACCTCCTCTGGACATGACAGCATAGACTGAGTGTCGCGAATTAGCTGTTCCTTCTGGCAGGTTTGACGAACGACAGCACTGGAAGCTTCAGTATCTTCGCAGTTGCCTCCTTAGGTTTCTCTTGCTGCCCTTAACTCATAGTCCTGGCTGATCCATTTCATTTAAGGATCTTTCAAAGAATTGCAGCTTCCCTTTCTCCTCAAATATTTATTTTAGGAGAGGTTCCTACCCACCCACCCCCACCCCACCCCTTGAGCCTTTAGCAGAGCCTGGAAGACTGCTGCTCAGCCTGCCATCCTGGGTGACCGTTCCAGTGAGTACTTACTGTGACATCATGATCTGAAGACCTAGCTCCTGAAGAGTGGGCTGTCTGGCTAAAGAGTTCCTCCCCCAGGAGATAATGCACGCTGGTTTTATTTTCAGGAAGCCTAGCTAACCTAGTGTCCAAAGACTTACTGTACCAGACTCACGGGGTTCCTTTTTCAAATGCAAATTCCTGGACTCAACCCAGACCCATTAAATTAGATTTTGTAATGGACAATCCCTAGGAGTCTGCGTTTTTAACTTGAGTCTTTTATACTTTTATTGCAACCAAGGGCTCAGACTGGAAGCCTAGGCCAATTTCGTACCACCTGGTGTGGGCACTCCGTACTTTGAAGGGCTTTGGCTGGGTCAGGCTGAAATCGGGCAGAGGCCTTCATACTAGTCCCGATGTGGTCCGAGAGCAGCCTCAGAGGTCAAGCACCATAGGCCCCTCCTCAGCCGTAGTAGCTCCTGATAAACGGGCTCCTGGGCCGGAAGTGTGTCTGCAGACTGTCCTGGCCCTCAGCCCCTGTACAAGTTGCAAAGAGGAATTTCTACACCCCATAGTAGCACAGGTTCCTCAGATCCTATCCACTCTGCCTCCAAATTGAGGGCTAAAGGGGAAGGGGGGGGGGAGGAATGAGTGTAAGGAGCCCATTCAAGCACACTCATTTTTTTTTCCATAAGAGAAAAGGTCGGTGGGAAGGAGGAGAGGGTATGTGAGAACCTTGTACTTTCCACTCAAGTTTGCTATAAACCAAAGCTGCTCTAAAAAAGTAGTCTCACACACTCACACACACACACACACACACACACACACACACGGAGGAGAGGTGCTGGTCCCTGGAGCTAGTAAATTGAGAGTATGATAGGAAGCCATCTCGATGCAGTGCACAGAATGTGAGGAATGATGGCTTGGTCATCAACACGGGTCATGGCATTGTCATCCCTGGTTTCAGAGCCCAGGGCCCTGAGGTTCAGAGTAAGTGATTTGCCCAGGGTCACCTAGCTAATGGGCAAGTAGAAGTAGCAGAGCCTGGGCAGCCCAGGGGGCTCAGTGGTTTAGCGCTGCCTTCAGCCCAGGGCGTGATCCTGGAGTCCTGGGATCAAGTCCCACGTCGGCTCCCTGCATGGAGCCTGCTTCTCTCTCTGCCTGTGTCTCTGCCTCTCTCTCTCTCTCTCTCTCTCTCTCATTCTATGAATAAATAAAATCTTAAAAAAAAAAAAAAGTAGCCGAGCCAGAAGTCGCACCCCCCGCCCATCGCCTGGTGCCTGCTCCCTCCACCGTGCTGCCTCTGCTGGTGCTTCATCTCCGAGGCCCGACCTAAAGGTAGCTCGCACATACGGAGCACTTAGCTACATTCTGCTAAGCACTTTACACAGATTACCTCTTGTGATCTCACGACAACCCTATGGTCATTATCCTCTCCCTTTTACAGGTGAGGACGCAGACTCGGGAGAGACAGGGATGTGTGGCAAGCCACGCAAACTAGCAGGTGATGGAGCCCAACGGGAGTCCGTGCTCAGGGCGCAGACTCTACCTTCCATTGCCACTAGGGGTGAGGCGGAGGGGACGGGGACAGACCCCGCAAAGGGTGAGTTGGCAAGACTGCAGCTCGCCGCCGCCGAGCAGAGCAAGGAGGAGCCGCTAAACCTGCTAAGCCGGGCCGTCGCCGGCACGCAGGCCGGCTGCGGGCCAAGCCCCCCCCCCCCCCCCCCCGCGTCCCCAGCTGCCGTGCGGGCTGTCAGCCCTCCCAGACCCGCCAGGCCACCTCGGTCCTCCCGCAGCTCTTCGGGGCTGGGCTGCCGTCTGACCTCCTCTCCCCCGCCCCTGCTCCAGCCTCCTGCCCCGGCGAGCTGCGAGCTGCGGGGAGGAGGCCAGGCCGCTCACATAAGCCTGTGGCGGCTGCCGGGTGAGAGCAGGTGCTCGGCCTGTCCCCCAGCACCAACAGCGGGAATCTCCCGCTGGAGCCCAGGCCTCGGTGGCCCGGCATGGCAGCCGCGGGATCCACACGGAAGGGGGAGGAAGCGAGCCCGGCCGGGGCTGAAGGGCACCCAGCTTCACCTCAACAAGAGCCCGGCAGCCCCCTTCCCCAGCTCCTGCCCCCTGTCGAAGGTGACCCGCAGGGGTGGGAAGGGGGGTGTCTGGGAGGCAGGAGTTGGGGAGGACATCCCAGCCGCTGGCTGCAGCTCCTTAGGTTTGTGCAGAGGTAAGCGCCTTCATGGGATTGGTACCTGGGATAGAGGAGCACCAGTTGGGCCCCTACCCTGTTCCTTGGTGGATTCTTTTTTGCTGCTCAAGTGTCTCTGCTGGGTTTGTGCAAATTAGCTGAGAGGTCAGTGAATGGTGTTTGTGGCACTTTACAGTGACTGTAAATGGCCTGTTTGTATTTGTACCTGTAAATAAAATGTCTGTCCTGGGCACTGAGGGCCTGATCTACTGAAGCCAGCTAGGAAGGGAATGTGGGATGAGCGAGATGGTGGCCATCTGGAGTAGAAGGGGGAGATGAAAAGCTTCTAGCAGCTGAGAGGCTGGGTGGTGAACAGAGTATGTGACACCCTGACTGTCCCTGGGCAGAGCCATGGGTCCAGGACCTACCCTACCACTCCTCCAGCTCCCAGGGAAACCCCAGCCTCGAAGACCTGCACTCCAAGGAGGCAGGGCCTATCTAGGAGAAGCGCTGGCCTCCCTCCCCCACGGGCTTCTGTGAGCCTCTCAGCAAAAAGGCACTTTGGAGCTGGGGGTGGGGGGCGGTGGGGCGGTGGGTGGCCCTTGCGGGGCCGCCCCCTCCCTGGCTGCCCCTGGCTGAGGCCTCTGCAGCTAACAGGCCTGTGAGCTCCATGATGTTCCCTCGGGGTGTCACCCACTGTGCCAGGCTCAGCAGGCCAGAGACCAAAGGCAGGAGCCAGGCTTTTCCCTTCTACGTAGTAACTGGCTGAAGGAACCACGGGGGCTGCCTCAAACATTTAAGATAGTTACCTGCACAAAGTCCCTGCTCTTTGGCCTCTGGACATCTTGAGTGGAGGGCCATGCAAAGACCACAAAGAGCTCATGGAACCCCAGGGTAGGAAGAGGTAGGACACCACGTCGTGATCTAGACTCTACCCCGTGCTGCTTGCCCTTGGACAAGCCAACCAGTGGCTCAGTTTCAGTTTCCTCTCTGTAAAATGGTAATTAATAACATCTACCTAGTAGGGCAGTTGAAAGGATTGTCGAGATGATCTGAAGTGCCTCGGAAGAGGCCAAACTAGGATGTAAATAGATAAGATATTTCCAAGTCAGGAGTGAAGACTAGGAGTTCTATCTGCAAATGGGGTGGAGTAGGGAAAGTTGGCTGCCTCTTCTCATCCTAATGGGAAACACTGGGTTTTCGGGAGCTATTTGAATGTCACAGGCAGCCAGCCAGCTGAGTTTGCTCCACCGAGAAGGAGGTCGGGGGAGTGGAAGTCATCGTGAGCATATCAGGCTGAGATGGTCTTGACACCGAAAACCAATTTCTTCCCCAAAAAGGTCCAGGGAACAAGCTACAGAGTGAGCATGAGAGCCGGGACTGGGGACTTCTGACTTGGCTGGTCTCCCCAAGGCCCTGGGGGAGGGCGTGCATCTCACCCACGCTCCTCCCTCTGGCTGCAAGTAGACACTGTGGGCCATGGGCTCTTGCTAGCTCCTGGCCAGCTCCCACAAGCAGCCTCAAGAGCCCTGGCCTTGGGTGTGGCAGCCCCCCTGGAGAGCAGGCCTCAGGGCCACCAGCGCCAGCAGCTCAACTCCTTAGCATCCCGGAGGTCAGTGAGAGTAAGCATTGCTTGGGATACTTTGCAAAGTATGTTTGCATCTGTTATCTGCTTAAAGACATGAGTTCAAATCCTAGCTCTGTTCTGTGACCCTAGGCAAGTGAGTGCACTTTTCTGGGCTTCCATTTTTTCATCTGGTTTTTTTTTTTTTTATTTTATTTTTTTATTGATAGTCACACACAGAGAGAGAGGCAGAGACATAGGCAGAGGGAGAAGCAGGCTCCATGAACCGGGAGCCCGACATGGGATTCGATCCCAGGTCTCCAGGATCACGCCCTGGGCCAAAGGCAGGCACCAAACCACTGCGCCACCCAGGGATCCCCTCCATTTTTTCATCTGCAAATTGAAGGATAACCTTTTGATGGCTATGGACCCCTAGGAAAATCTAATGAAATCTATGGAATCTTATCCCAGGAAAAATACTCAAAAAAGTTCTGGGAGCTCACAGAAACCCTGAAGCTCATTCAAAGGTCCTTCAGGATGCCATGGACCTGGCCTAAATGGCCCCTAGGTTCCTGTGAGCTCCAAGTCCTTTTTCTTCCTCTTAAGTCCTCCTCTACCTTATGGGGAGCACTGTGGGACCTGGAGGGGGCCCTGCAGAGAGCATGTGTGTGCATGCAAGCACCAGAGGCAGAAATTCATTTGTAACATCAAAATGAACTACATCTGGCCAACACTGAGCTTTTGGTCAAGAAAGCCTGCTACGTCACTTAACTAAGCAGAAGTAGGCAGCCGGCATTGGGAAACAAGTTTCCTGTCTGCTCCCAGCACTACATGGAGGCACTGGGTCCCGGAGGCAGCATCTGGTGGGAGAAGACACCTTGAGACCCAGAGGAAGGGCCCATCTGCTGATTTCAGAATAACTGCATCTCCTGTCAATCCAAACTATTCTGTGTCTCCCAGGCTTGGGAAGCTGGAGCCGATGCCTGGGAGTAACCTTCCTTCCTTTCTTCCTTCTTCCCCTCCTCCTTACTTTCCTATCCTCTTTCTTCCTTCTACAAATATTTATGTCTTTTATGTGCCAGGCACTGCTACAGAAATGAACAAAATAGGCAAAGATAACTCCCCTTGTGGAGGTTACATTCTAATGTAAGGAGATAGACAATAAATAACCAACTAAGATATATATAATATGTCAGATGGTAACAGATGTTGTGCTGAAAAATGAAGCAGAGGAGGACAGAAAGTGCTGGGGGTGGAAAACATGCTTGCTGTTTTAAACAGGATATTCAGTGAAGGTCTCATTAATAAGGTGCTATTTGAGCAGGTACTTAAAGGAGATGAGAGAACAATGTATGCAGATATTTGAGGGGAATGTTTTCCATGCCCAGATTACAGCCAATGCAAAGGCACCGAGGCAGGTGTGTGCCCTATGGGTTGGGGCCACTGTGCCTGTAGCAGTGTGAGGGAGAGAATGGTAGGTTTGGGGGCAGATAGGTAGCAGGACCATTGTGAAGACTGGCTCAACTCTGAGGCTGATGGGCAGCCTGGGCAGGGTTTTAAGTAAGAACTGACATGATCAGGTTTAGGTTTTAAGGCTTTTTCTGACCGCTGAGTTAAGAATAGGCTATCAGGGCAGCCTGGGTGGCTCAGTGGTTTAGCGCTGCCTTCGGCCCAGGGTGTGATCCTGGAGACCCAGGATCGAGTCCCACATCAGGCTCCCTGCATGGAGCCTACTTCTCCCTCTGCCTGTGTCTCTGCCTCTCTCTCTGTGTGTCTCTCATGAATAAATAAAATCTTTAAAAAAAAAAAGAAAAAGAATAGGCTATCAGCGGGCCTGAGACACTAGCAAGGTCCTCAACTGAGGATGAGGATGAGGGAGAAGGTAGGGAGGTTTTAGAAGAGGAAGGTGTACAGTTGTCACCCAGAATAGGAGGCTGAATGGACCTGGGAAGTCTAGAAAAACTGCCAGGGGCCATTAGTAGTTAGTGATCACTGTTACAGTCAGCCTTGCTTGTGTTTTTCTCCAGCGTGTGGATGGGGCATTGAGCGGATGGAAAGCTTTTACCTGGGGTTGGCCTTGCTGGGAAAGTGCAGTGGAGTGACGGGATTAAGGGAGCTGAGTGGGAGCACAAGGGAATGAGTGTAATGACTAGATTCTTGAGTTGGGTGGAAAAGATGGTGGTAGAGCAGAGAGGGTGACAGGGATCGCCGAAGGTGCTGAAGGATCGCTGGTACTGGAGCAGCAGAGCTGGAGCGGCAGAGACTGTGCTGTCAGGGAATGCCCATTGATGTAACAAACAGGCCTCAGAACTGAAGACCCAGAAACAATAGATGTTTATTTCTATTAAAAAGTTTCTATTTATTTCTATTAAAAATAGTTCTCCATGCAGTAATTCCACACCCCAGGCCTTTTCCCTCTTGTGGCTCTGCCACAGATTTTCTCAGACAAGCATTGCCCGTTTCTATGTCCTTCAGGTTTTTCTGACCTTAGTTTCAGAGTCTCCAAGGAGGTGACACTCCTGTCCTTCACAAGGTGCTTTTCGGAGGTCACCTTTGCAATGATGCTCCTCCAGACAAGTTTCTGATAAGGCCAAGGCCACATCCTCTTTCTTTTCTTTTCTTTCTTTTCTTTTCTTTTCTTTTCTTTTCTTTTCTTTTCTTTTCTTTCTCTTTCTTTCTTTCTTTCTTCTTTCTTTCTTTCTTCTTTCTTCTTTTCTTTCTTTCTTTTCTTCCTTCCTTCCTTCCTTCCTTCCTTCCTTCCTTCCTTTTCTTTCTTCCTTTCATTTTTTTTAGATTTTATTTATTTATTCATGAGAGACACACACAGAGAGGCAGAGACACAGGCAGAGGGAGAAGCAGGCTCCATGCAGGGAGCCCGACGTGGGACTCCATCCCGGGTCTCCAGGATCAGGCCTTGGGCTGAAGGCGGCGCTAAACCGCCAAGCCACCCGGCTGCCCCAACCCACATCCTGTTTCAAAGCCATAGCTCACCTTGTGCATTTGCTCTTTGTGGATAGCCGCTCACTTACACAGGCACGTGTATGCATGCACATATGCTCACAGTCTCACACTTACCCACAGACATGCACACACTGTCGCACACTTGCACACGCTGGCACACACACTGTCTCCCACATATGTGCGCACACACACACCCTTCATTCTTTCAGCGTGTCTGGTTCTTTCAGGCTCCAGGACATAAGTAATAACATCAACATGAACTGCACAGCCCTTAAGAAATTGCTAGAAAAAAGTCTTTAACCGTGGGAAGGAAAATTTTGAGAGAATGTGAACACTCATTTCCCAGGAGCATAGAATAAGGAAATGGGCATAAACTTCAGCAGAATGAAATTAGGATCGAGTTAAGAGGGATTTTCTAATCCAGAGGAGTTAAGATCTTTGGATTCTAAGGGGTCTTCTCTGCTAATTTCAAAGAAAGCATTAGACAGCATTCTGTCTGAGAGAAAGACAGTGCTGAGAGCAGCACAGTTCAGAACCCGATGTCTCTCAGAGGACTTTTCAAAATGCCTTTTCCCCAAGACTCTGTGAAGGGCATAAAAAACAAGCTGTGGCTTCTCAAACCTGGTCTCAGAAAACCCAGGTTGTGCTGTAGGGCTCTAGTCTCTGGTTCACACCCCTCCTGGCATCTGAGGAGCAGAAAGACCTTGGGCATCAGGCAAAAGCCACATTTCCCCAAGGTCAGTACAATTAACACCTCTCTTGACCGCAGATGTGTGAAAAGAGATGCCCCAAATGAGCCTCCCATTAACATTCTTAGCAGAGGGTCAGACTGCTTATTTGGGCAGATGGGAGGGCCTGAGTGGAGCTGAGGAAGAGCATTCTGCTGCCCAGGCTGCAGCTGCCAACTACTCTCCTGCCCCCCCCCCCTCAGCTGCTCTGGCCTCAAGCCCATCCTCTTTCCCCACACTGGGGGCTGGGAGCCTGCTGAGAGCAATCCTCACCTACTAATCCTCAGACGCAGAACATTCTACCAACGGTGAGCTTGTTCCCTGTCAGTTCATCATCTTGTCGGGGAATCTGGCTTATAAGCCAAGACCCGGCCTGGGAGCCCCCAGGGAGGGAGAGACCACCGCCGGCAGCCAGCCCTTCGCTGTCTCTCTCTGCCCTCGCCCGGGGGGGGGGGGGGGGCACGACACGACTCAGAATCTCAGGCCGTTCTGTTCTCCTCCTCCTAATGCCATCACCGTTATTCACGTGCCACATAAACCTAGTTCTCTAATTATTCTCTTCCGTTCAGGTGAAGCAACGCTGACATCTCCCGAGATTTTTCTTTTTTTAAATTAATTAATTTATTTATTTGTTTATTTATTTATGAATGATAGTCACACACAGAGAGGGAGGCAGAGACACAGGCAGAGGGAGAAGCAGGCTCCATGCACCGGGAGCCCGACGTGGGATTCGATCCCGGGTCTCCAGGATCGCGCCCTGGGCCAAAGGCAGGCGCCAAACCGCTGCGCCACCCAGGGATCCCTCCCAAGATTTTTCTAAGGAACCCTTCGGTGGGCACAAGTACAGGAGGCGGCTTGCACCCACCTACAGGAGCCCGCTGCCCACCGAGGTCTAGAGCCGGCCTGAGTACCGGGCTCCTCCCCTCTCCGCACCTGCTCACTCCCTGAGGCCATCCCTCTGCCTCGGCCTTTGCCTCCTCCTCCAAGGGGGGTCACTGATGCCGAGGCCCTGACCGCGCAGGGCAGGGCACCGGCGCCACTTCACAGCCTCCCCTCCTGGTGCTCGAACCGGGGGCTCACGCGGGGCCCTCCTGGGTCCCGCGGGCAGAGCCGGCCTCTCTCCGGCGAGGCTGAAGGGCCCTTCCCCACCGACAGTGCCGAATCGAGCCTGGCAAGATGAGGCCTTGGCCCTTCTTTTCTTCTTTCAGAAAACCCGCGAGTCCTATCCGTTGTTCTCGGCTCCCTGGCCGCTGGCCAAGAGGCCACAGGGGAGGAACGCCCCGCACAGCCGTCTGTTCCGTGGCCCCCTGCACCCGCCCACGTCGGGGGAGGGCCCCGCCGCGGTGCCGCTCACCCGGGGACAGCGGCCCTGAGCCGACCAGGCCGCCGAGTTCTGGCTTCTGCCGGGCGAAAAGGGATCTCGGAGACCGGGAGGGCGCCGGCTACGGAGGGAGCGCGGCTCTCTGAACGGGGGGGCTACGGATTGAGGTGGAGGAGGAACGGTGGAAACTCCGTTTACTTTATGTTAAAGTTCGCCATTTAAAAGTTTGCACTGTGGTTCGCTCCCGGGTTTCGGCACCAAAAAAAAAAAACAAAAAAAACAAAAAAATAAAAGTTTGCACTGTGTAATGCACATACTTAAACAATTCAACTTAGAAGTAAACACACATAGGCTGGGGCAGAATGTTCAGGAATGCTCTGGCATGGAAATGTTATCAGACAGTTCACAGTCCTCCGACAAGCGGTTGCGCTGTTTGCCACGGTTGTGAACGGGGTGAAATTCTCCAACTGCTCTAATTGTGGGGAGAGGCGGGGAAGCTGTGGCCACGCTCCCAAGGGAACCCAGCTGGGAGGTCTGCACTTTCTCAGCGGCGGCAGGCAGCCCGAGGCGCCTGGGGAGGAGAGAGCTCTCACCTGCTCAGCCTCCACACCTTGCACTCAGCACTTCCCTGAGCATCTCCTGCTTCCATCCTGGAAGCCAATGGACAGAAACCAATCCCTCTTCTCCCCGGAACACGCCTGGGAGATCAAGGAGCGGGAGGAGTGGGCCCAGTCTCCCCCAGATTCTGTTCATACAAAGCGATCCTCCGTGAACTGGAAGAGCACTGCGCAGGCTCTTTTTTAAAAAAGGATTTTATTTACTTATTCATGAGAGACAGAGGCTGAGACACAAGCAGAGGGAGAAGCAGGCTCCATGCAGGGAGCCTGATGAGGGACTCAATCCTGGGTCTCCAGTATCACTCCCTGGGCTGAAGGCGGCGCTAGACTGCTGAGCCACCGGGGCTGCCCAGTAAATAAAATCTTAAAGAAAAAAAGTGACTTTGATAAAAGGAGTGTTAAGAACAAATGTAGAAAAGGGGTATAAAGACAAACCACACAGGCTAGACCAGTCTTTGCACAAACAAAAAGAAATCCCAGTTGATGAAAAGTCAGTAGTCGAGTTACACATTAAAAGAAGTAAGCATCAGACTCACACTCCAGTGCTTTCTGCCAAGACTTGAATGCTCTCAAGAGGGTCTTTCAGCCAATCACTCTTCCCTAAATTTCAGCAAGACAATGGGAGCAATCTTCTCATTTCCTAGGAGAGGACTGATTTGCTGAGTACCTGGGTGATCTGCCCATGGAGTACGGTCACATGCAGTGTCCACTTCCTCTGAGCTCTGCTCCTTCTACCACAGGAGGCTCACCACCAACTGTTCTCTTTCCTTCCATCACTCAGAGCACCCCAAGATCTGGCTACCTCGGACCCTGAGGCAGACATATATCCAGAAGGTCGGAGACACTGTGAACCTACTAATCCCATTCCAGGTGATCATGCTGTTCCCATGCTGGGTCCATGTTGGGTCCATGCTGGGACCAGGCCAGGGTTTTGATTTGGAAATAGATACTAAGAGTCTTGCTGGCACTGGGACAGTCATCCTGGCCTGGAATGGAGGGGGCCATGTCACCAGAAGTCTGAAGCAGAAGGACCCTTCCAGCTGTACTCCTAAGGTGGGGTTTGGGTTGGGCATGTCCCATGGACAAGCTGAGGCTAACCTATGTCCTTCGGTCAGCAGAGGTCTGGGAGCTCTTGGTTTGGAGGGCTCTTAGGAGTTTAGGCAGCTATTGTTAGTGCCAGCTGCCCTGGGGTGACCTAAACTCCCAGGAGGTGGGAGACTCAAAGCCAAACCCCTTCTTTTCCCATGATCTTTAGGCTGTTGATGAAAGACAGGAGTCCCCTGAGACAGTCCACTGACTTCTAACTCAAGGCATTTGCAGTTGCAAGTCAAGTCACCATGTGGACCTGGGGTGGCTCTAACCCTCCACTGCAGCAGGGAGGGTCACAGGGCCTCTTGGGGGCTGCTCACAGCCTTATTCCCATTTCTTAGGGCAAACCTAAACCCCGAGCCACCTGGACACATGATGGCTATGCCTTGGATGCCAGCCGTGTGAGTGTGCGGAATGGGGAGCAGGACTCCATCCTCTTCATCCGAGAAGCCCAACGTGCTGACTCAGGTCGCTACCAGCTCAGTGTGCAGCTGGGAGAGCTGGAGGCCACTGCTACCATTGACATCCTGGTTATCGGTATACTGTGGGACAGAGGGTGGTCATCAGGGGCTCCCTCTCCAGGCTAAAGAGGAGCCATTACAGAGAGCTAGGGAGGCCAGGGTGACTCCCCACACCAAGGGTGGAGCACAGTGGTGGGTGAGAGGAGGCACAGCTAAGCAGAGAAGAGGAAGGGCACCCCTGAAGTGATTTCCATGCATATGTGAGTTGCACCATGCCCACTGCCATGCTTGACCTTTTCAGAGAGGCCAGGCCCTCCTCAGAGTATCAAGTTGGTGGATGTTTGGGGCTCCAATGCTACTCTGGAGTGGACACCTCCCCAAGACACGGGCAATGCAGCACTCCTAGGATACACCGTGCAGAAGGCCGACACAAAATCTGGGGTGAGGCCCAGATGGGAGGGAATGGGGAGAGAGGAGTAACACATTCTGGAATGGGGCTCTGGTAGCTCCACACGGTGGGCTGAGGTGGAGTGAGTCCACAAAACAGGTATCTCATTCAAGGCATCTTCTTTGGACCCCAAAGCTATGGTTCACAGTGCTGGAGCGTTATCACCGCACCAGCTTCACGGTTTCTGACCTCATCGTGGGCAACTCCTACTCATTTCGAGTCTTTGCTGAGAACCAGTGTGGCCTCAGTGAGACAGCCCCCATCACTGCTGACCTTGCCCACATCCAGAAAGCAGGTAGGGCCCAGGGCCTGGGAGCTGGGAAGAGCTGAGGATGAAGAGTCAAAGCAAGGTGGGGGAATCTCAGGCACTACAGCACGGCCCTTCTTGGTCCTCTCAGCTACCATTTCTAAGACTGAGGGGTTTGCACAGCGAGATTTCTCTGAAGCTCCGAAGTTCACCCAGCCTTTGGCAGACTGCACCACAGTCACTGGCTATGACACCCAGCTTTTCTGCTGTGTCCGCGCCTCTCCCAAGGTGAGTGAGAGTTCTGTGGGCTGGCTGTGCCACACTGCTCCCTGCTCCTGCCCTAACCTTCACTATGTGGAAGAGCAGTCTAACCCATCACCCACCCCTCCCACAGCAGGTTAGGTGAGTTCTGAGCAGTCAGGGCACTTAGAGTCCAAGACAGGCTGGTGTGGATGATGTTTCCAGCTTCCCTTTTAGTGTCTGTTCCTCATATATGAAGATGTCACTTACTGATCTGCTAGCAATTGGGCATGAGCTTCAAGTTGTCTCTTGGCTGAGGTGATGGAGTCCCCCTGGTTTCTCCTTAGTCACCCACTATGCCTCACCTGTTCAAGCCCACCTGCATGCCAGCTGTCTAGAGTTGAGGCCACAACCCCGAGCAAGTCTATTTCCAACTTAGTCACTGTACTTCTGTATGTTATACCACATAAAACACCACTACCAACCTTACCAAGTACCTTTTGCATAGGAGTCCGGAGCCAGACTACATGGAGATAACATCTCGGAAAGAGAATATAGAAAGCCCACTCTACACACTACTTTCTAACCAGAGGGGGCAACAGTGACTCCCAAGCTGACAGTGGGAACAGAATACAAATGATTCAACAACATATATACAAAAAAAAGGAGATCCTGAGGCCTGGTACTTAGGATCCAGGAAGGGGCTGCTTGCACAGGATGGAGCAGGAGTTTCCACCTTTTTTCCAGTCAGGAATACTTGATGAATAAGGCAAGGTTTCAGGTGCTCTTTTAAACCAACAGAAGGAGCTTTAGAAGGTACTGGAAAGAGGGATCCCTGGATGGCGCAGCGGTTTGGTGCCTGCCTTTGGCCCAGGGCGTGATCCTGGAGAACCGGGATCAAATCCCACGTCGGGCTCCCTGCATGGAGCCTGCTTCTCCCTCTGCCTGTGTCTCTGCCTCTCTCTCTCTCTCTCTCTGTGACTATCATGAATAAATAAATAAAATCTTTAAAAAGAAACTAGACCATTCTCTTAAAAAAAAAAAAAAAAGAAGGTACTGGTAAGGGAACACACACAGACACACACACACACACACACACACACACACACACACTGCCAATGTAAGGAACGGGGAGCTTTCCAGAAGACCATTATCTCTTCTAGATCCAGTACCACCTGTTCTTAAGGCACCCTACTCCTCTGACTTCTCTGGTCTGTGTGTTCCCAAGCCTTATCAGCAAGGAGCCCAGGGATCGAACACAGAAGGAACAATTGGTTCTCACCTCCCATGCTGCCTCCTTCATCTTTATCTTGCAGCCAAAGATCATCTGGCTGAAGAACAAGATGGATATTCAAGGCAACCCCAAGTACAGAGCTCTCAGTCACCTGGGAATCTGCTCTTTGGAAATCCACAAGCCTGGTCCCTTTGACGGGGGCATCTACACCTGCAAGGCAGTTAACCCCCTGGGGGAGGCGTCTGTGGACTGCCGGGTGGATGTCAAAGGTGAGTGCAGAATGCATCCCCTCTCTCCACAGCTGAAAAATTCAGGGCCAAGCCACAAGCCTGCATGGAGCCAGGCTTGGCTGGCTCCCCTTGCAGGTGCTCTAGGCACTGTCATCATCAGGATGTATTTGGGGAGGCGCTTTAATTATCCAACATCTTATTTCTCTCCCAACATAATTCTGTAATATAGAACGGCTAGTTCCATTCAGCAAAGGAGAGACCTGAAGCACTGGGCGCTGATCAGTTTACCCAAGGTTCCCAAAACTGATTAAGTGAGGACTTGGCACTGTGGTGGAAAGAGCCCAAGCCTCCTGGCCCTCACTCAGATTGTCTTGAAACTATACAGTCTTTGATTTAGTCCAGGAAAGCTGCAGCTGTTAGGCTTTTAAACAAACCAGAGGGGCAAGTCCTCTGGTTTGTTAAAAGGGAGAATTGCACATTCTCTCTACCCTTTTAAAGTATTATTCATCCGTCCATTCCTGTCACCTTATTTGAATCTCCATCATTGCATTTAGCGTATTGTTATATAAGTGCCTATTTACTGATCTGTTTCTCCATTAAACCAAGAGTACTGCGAAGGCAGGACAGTCTGACTTGCCTTTGTCCCCTCCCCCCAACCCAGTGTCAAGCCCAGTTTCTGACACACTGGGGGCACTCTCCGAGTGTGCATAGCATGAATCAGGAAAGAACGGGCCATGACATGCCCTATTCTTCCCCATGTGGAGACTCCTACTTAGCACCACAGACTCTGGAGAAACCTGAGAAGTCTATCCCTTCCCAGTGCTCCACAAGAAGGTTTCCCAGAGATTTCTGAGATGTTAACTCTGAGAAATGTGTGAATTCTTGCAGCTCCTCACTGAGGCTCCCCGAGAGGATTAGGGCAACTCTGACAAAGGTAAGGAAAGAGGGACTGGGGTTCTGAATGGAGTATTCCATGCTTATGGCTAGTGTGGAGTCTGGGACAGATATGTATTCCTGAGCCTCTCAACCATGCACTCATGGGTGACTACTTTCCTTTTAAACACTTTTTTTTGGTAAGTTAATCCTATCATCTTCAAGGAAGGAATTTACCACAGACAGTACTACTTTTGTCACATCCTCTATCTGTACTTGAGTTGATGATAGGTATTAAACCTAACAGTCCTCTGGAAAAGGAGTGATAGCATCTACCTAACTGTAAGGAGGTTCCATGGGAGGGAGGGGAGCAGGTGCTATAAGAAAAGGCATCAAAGGAACAATCAGGAGTGGTGGATGGATGGGGGTCACCACCAGCTAGTGGCAGCAGCATGGGAAAAAAAGACAGAAAGCCGCTCCTGTCAACTATTTCTACTTCAGTATCATGAACGTGGTGAGAAACAGATTCATTTGCTTGTTTTTCACTTTGAAGTTTATGGATTCCTTCCCTTCTGAGAGAAGAAACCACCATTACCATCATGTCAATAGTAACAACATGTGGGTATGTGGTCCCATGCAGCACATACTGGCAAAGGGCAGCTCAGACCATCATTTAAAACTGGGTAACTCCTTGAGGTTCTGAATCACTCACAGTAGAAATGCTGTGTATGAACTGATGAGTAGGGTGAAAAAGCAGCTCGTGGAAGAACGAGAGGCTCCCCGAGACCTGGTTCCCAATGTCTCCTTGGATATGCAGTTCCTGGCTGATGAAAATTGAGGATGAATACCATCCCAGACGCCATTTATTTGAGTCCATCATTGATATACAGCAAATAAAACCCCTCAGGGATGCATTAAAGTACAGCCTTTTCAGGAGAGCTCGTTTGAGGAGAGCTCTCAATTGGCTTGCAAAGACAGTTCTCGGGCCATTCCGTTCCTTCTCTGTGTTAATGTCAATGTTATGTTGGAGTCAGCCTTGTAAGGGGGATTTGCTCTGTTACCTCTCTCTCAGCACACAGAAACAAAGCTGGGTAAGTAGAGAACTGACAGCATAGGACCCCAGGACCGTGAAGAGGACTGCCTCAGCATCGTGGATGTGTGCTGGTTGTCTGCTTGTTACAGCCACAACATACCTTTTTTTTTTTTTTTTTTTCTGTGCCTTTAGGAAGCCTGACTGTGGCGAGACTGTGTTCTTAAGGAGCTCCAGCACAGCATCTGGTTTGGACTAATCTAAATAAACGTGTGTGTCTTCAGGGCATAAGTGTCCATCTGTTTGAGCCTTTCTATATGGGAAAACCATTTAGAAAGTTGGAATTCTTTAGCCAGATGGTATGGGATCTGCAGACCCTCAGACTCCTCTTTTTCCTTATACCCACATTCTCTTCCACAGAGATTCTAACACTGTCCTTTTGTCTAGAGTCTATGACAGAGCTGAATTCAACTCTATCTAGTGCCTGGTGCTGAAAGAGATTCTGAACATGACTTGCTCCCTTCCTCTGCACTTTCCAGTATAAACTGGAAAACAGGATGCACATCTATCACAGAGACAGAGACAGCAGAACACAGAAACACGTACATAGCTAATCAAAGAGCACTAAGATTTGAGGGCTGGGAGATACTGACGAAACTGGCGCAGTCTCATTAAGCCCTGGGGAAAGAAAAAAGGTGAGATGCCCTTGCTTACATGTTTGTTTTCATTCTTTCATTCTTATAATAGGTAAGATATTAAAGGCATTCTGTGATAGACTCTTCAAAAGATAGCAACAATTCCTCCCATCCTAGCTAGGATGGGCATGGTGCTCATCATGGTGCTCCACCAAGAGTTAGAATCAATTTCCCTTCCCCTTGAACCTGGGCTGACCATGTGACGTGCTTTAACTAAAAGAATATAGTGGAGGTGATGCTGTGCCAGTCTGGGCCTCGACCTCAAGAATTCTAGTAGTTTCTGCTTTTGCTTTTGAAGTCAGGTCCCATGTAAAGAATCTCAGGACGGATTACTGAATTATGAGAGGCCACATGCAGGACAACCAAACATCCCTGCCAACAGCCTGCACCACAGCCCTAGACATGTGTGGCCACCTGAGACCCTTCAGCCCTAGTCAAGCCCAATCTACTCCCTGTGGAGTAGAGACAGGTGGTCCTTGCACAAGCCTGCCCAAGTTGTAAAATCATGAGACGAATGGTTGCTGCTGTTCCAAGCCACCAAGTATTGGGGTGGTTTGTTACACAGTAATATGTAACTGAAACAACCTTCTCTGCATCAGATACTGAATGTCAGGCTTCATTTTTTTAAATGAGGAAGTTACGTTTATAAACTGTTTCAAGTCATGCAGCTGGTAACAGAGCTAGGATTTGACCCAGGTCAGCCTGACTTGAAGCCTTCCCTCTTTCCTCTCCTCTCTTTCACCCAGCAACCTTCACTGTGGTCTGGGTTGGGATCATGAGTTTAAGAAAGAAAAGATTTCTATAGGAGGCAGTAAATCTTAGGCAAGATTTTGGCAGCGGGGGGAGTGGAGGGTTGGCCTGAGAAGAGTGAGAACGGCTTTTCTGTTCACACTAAAGGTCTATTTTCAGTTGAGGCAAAGTGTCTATTCCAGCCTTTCTCAACTAGAGCACTATGAGAATTAAACCCCACTGCCTCCCAAGGCACCCACTGTATGTCATATATTAACTCCTATGCATTCAGAACATTACTAGTTATGCAGCATCTTGGGAAAATTGAGAAAGTAGCCACACAAATTTTTGGTGGGGTCTAATGCCCTTGCAGGCCCCCTGCTGAGAGTGCTGGACAGGGGAGAGAGAGAAGGGGACCAGAGTCCAGAGCCAGCTAGTCAGGTCCACGATGGCCACAAGGCCTCCCCTCAGCTGAAGCAGGGCTTAGGTCGGGAAGGAGTGGAATACTCCCAGCTATGATGCCTTCAGGATAAGTTAGACCTCTGGCCTCAGCCCACAGCTCCTTGTTGCCTTGCTGTCTGTTGAAGTACTCAAGGGACATCCCTTATACTCTGAACAAGACTTCCTGTCATAGTTCATCTTTCCATGTTCCAGAAGGACTGTGCTGGCATCCTTAATTTTGTCATTTATCCATTCAACACTATGGAGTTCCTTCTGAACTAAGCCCTACCATGTGCCTGGGAGCAGGTGTAATCTCTTTATTAATTCACGTATTCACTACCCTAGATTTTTTTTTTTTTTTGAGATTTTGTTTATTTATTCATGAGAGACAGAGAGAGAAAGCCAGAGACACAGGCAGAGGGAGAAGCAGGCTCCATGCCGGGAGCCCGACCCAGGACTTGATCCCGGATCCCAGGATCACGCCCTGCGCTGAATGCAGATGCCCAACTGCTGAGCCAGCAGGCGTCCCTCACTACCCTAAATCTTAAACATCTCTTCATACATATCAGGTTGAGCTGAGAGGGACAAATAATTCCCAGGGTAGAAACCTGAGGCTGAGTAAAGAACTCTTGTGACTGAAACCTTTTTTTTCTGCTTCTGTTGTTATTCTGATGGAGGAGCAAGTAGTTCGATTGCTTTTTGTCTTGTACTGCAACAGCTTTCAAAATCATAATTTCGTGACAGGAAACTGAAGAGTTTCCTTAGGAGAAACCAACTTCCAATTTGCTAACACTGCCTGCGCCGCTCATCCGAGGTTGGGGAAGCAGCAAGTGCTGGGTTTCCCTGCAAGGCAAGGCAGGAACGCAGGCTCCCAGTGCTTCTCTTCCTCCACGGGACTTTGCCACGACCTGCCCGGAGACAGGGAAGCTACTGGCTCTCGGCCTCCCACCTCCACAGAACCCGAGGCAGCCCCAGGGCCAGCAATTAGGCTTCCACCGGCACCAGCAGGCCTGCAGAAGACCAGGCCACCCTCTTCTCTCAGCTCTTCTTCACACAAGCCCCCCCACCCTTTCCCTCAGCACCGACCAATTCCCAGGCTCCTCCTGCGCTCGCCGCGGCATTTATCCCAGCAACCGCTGACGCCTGCACACCTCACAGCTGGTCTAGGAAGTGGACCCCCAAAGCCTATAAATAGCCAAAATGATGGTTATCAACCCTGGAGACTAAGCTCGCCAGTCGGTCTTTTAAAAGTTTAGAACAGGGACCCCCGGTGCCTCCACGGTGGAGGTCGGCCTCCGGCTCAGGGCGTGACCCCGGGTCCCGGATCGAGTCCCGCATCCGGCCTCCCGCTGGGAGCCTGCTTCTCCCTCCGCCTGGGTCTCTGCCTCTCTGTGTCCCTCATGAATAAATAAATAAAATCTTTAAAAACTAAAACAAAAAGATAAATGTTTAGAACTACTTCTAAAAAGCCCTGTCAGCTGGTGGCCCGGCCTATTCCCAGGCAACCCCTGGTAAACAGCAAAGAGAAAATCTCGGAGGAGGGTTAAGCACCTCACAAACAGCTCGCAGTGGGAGGCAGCAAGCGGCAAACACGCTCAAAAGCCCCCGAGGCACGCGGCAGAAAACTCGAGGCGGCAGCTCGAACCCCGAACCGACTGCCGCTCGGCATCCTCGCCCCGCGGAGAGCCAGGGGTCAAGTACGCTCAAGCCCTCCTGCCTCCTGACGTGGAGCCTCGCGGCAATCGGACCCAGACTTCCCCGTCCCGAAAGCCGATTCTCTTCACACCTCGGCTACCTCGGGTTCCGAATGCCCTCGCTTAAAGACGGTGGAAGATGTACTGAGAGAACCTCAATACACTAGAACAGCAATGTCCCGCTGCTTCCGTAACGTGGAAAAATCACAACCCATGAGACCTGGCAAACGCGGCGCTTGCACAAGGAGCAAACCTCCGGAAGCGAATTTCCTCAGGCGCAGCGCCGGTCTTCCGGCGGAAGGCTGAGCCGCGGCCCCACCGCCGGGGAGGGGGCGGGGAAGGGGAGGGGCTCGCCGGGCGCGAGGCCTACATTCATTGGCCAGGTCCGTCGCGCGCCGTCACGAGGCCCCGCCTCCTGGGGGGTCTTCCGGGCACGCGCGCGCTCGCGGCTTCCCGGCTTCAGCCCTCCGGATGAAGTCTTTCTTAGTACCGCTCTCCGCACGGCCCCCACCTGCAGACTTCACGGCCCCCACCTGCAGACTTCCGGCCGGCGGCTTTTCGCCGCCCCGCCCCCGAGGGCGGGATGCTGGGATCCGCCAATCACTGGGCGCAGGTGGTCGGAGGGGGTGGAGCCCGAGAGATTCGAAAGGAGCCCCACCCCCTCGGGGCTGTTTCCCGGGGCTAAGCGGTGGGAGGCGGGCGCCTTCTGCAAGAGGTGAGGCGGGGCGGAAGGTGAAGAAGGAGGGTGACCTGGAGGTGTGGTGTGGGTGCGGTGCCGTGGGAATGGAGAGGTGATCTGGGGAGAGGAAGAAGCGGAAAATGGTGGCGGGGAAGGAGGTAGGGCGTGCAGGCCGCCCCCAGTGAGGAGAGGCCAGCCCGTTAGGGGGGCGGCTGGGCCGCCTGAGGAGGGAGAGTGGCGCGCTCTCCGCACCTTCCCCGGAGGTCGCAGGGGCAGGTGCTACTCCTGGGACCCCTGCTTTACCCCCAGCGTGATCCTCACCCCTGGTTTGCACCCTGCGTGCAGCTGGGAGCCTCCGGCAGGATGGAGACCTGAAGCAAGGGTGCATTTTCTCTCCAGCTCAGGTCTAAGCTGACTCGCGCTCCTGCCGGCGGGAACATGGAAGATTTGGAGGAAGGTAAGGAAAGGAAGGAGGGAAGAATGAGGCGCTGCGAACGAGAGCCCTTGGTAGCGACCGGAGGCTGGCATTCATCCCTTCCTCCCCTACAGATGTGAAGTTTATAGGGGACGAGACCTTGGACTTTGGAGGGCTGTCGCCGTGTGACAGGTACCGTCCTCTAACCTCGTTGCTTTCCTCCAACTATACCTCTTTGTCTCCAACCCCTTACAGCTGAATTACCGGCTTCAGGGGTCTGGGTTGGTGATGTAGCCAGGCCGGGTGCCGTGGGGCTGCTGAGTGACTTGTTGACATGGGCCTGTGTGACAGTGCTGGGGGAAGGGAAACGGATAAGCTGGAATGAGGTTTCAGGATGTTAAGAAGCAGGGTAAGTGGATTTGTTGCATTTTCATCCTGGCATCGTTTCCAATGTCGCCAAGTGCTCAAGGCATATTAGGCCCCCTAGAACCGGCTGTCTGTCTCATCACCTAGAGGCCAGATCTCACAGCCAGCATGGGCATCAGGGTTTGGGGCTGTCTCCCTGGCTTTGTAGTGGGGTGGGGAGGTTGCCCAGTCTCCTTTGCACAGTCTCTTGCTCTCATCTGCATGGGCGTGGTGCCTGGTTTGTTCTCTGTCTCAGTCGTGAGGAGGAGGAGGATGTAGCAGTGTTGGTGACTCCAGAGAAACCCCTCCGAAGAGGACTTTCCAATCGAAGTGACCCAAATGCAGTGGCCCCAGCACCCCCAGGGGTGAGGCTCAGCTTAGGCCCCCTTAGTCCAGAGAAGCTGGAGGAGATTCTCCACGAGGCCAACCGGCTGGCAGCCCAGCTGGAGCAGTGTGCCCTGCAGGAGCAGGACAGCACAGGTGAGAGCCTGGGGCCTCGCAAGGTGAAGCCCAGCCCTCGACGGGAGACCTTTGTGCTGAAAGACAGTCCAGTCCGAGACCTGCTGCCCACTGTGAGTTCTTTGACTCGGAGCACCCCCTCCCCAAGCAGCCTGACACCTCGACTCCGGAGCAGCGATAAGAAGGGGTCAGTCAGGGCTCTTCGGGCAACATCTGGAAAGAGGCCTTCGAGTGTGAAGAGGGTGAGTTTGGAGGGTCTGGGTTGGACATATGCTCTCAGATACAGTGTGTGATTTGGTACAGCCAGAGTGGTTTCCTTTTTGGTAAAATGGAGATAGTAAAATTTTACCTCAGAATTGTTGGAATTAAGCAAAATACCATAAGCAAAGCACTTACTGTATCACAGTGACTGCACATATCTCTATAGTGTTTATAATAAGCTCGTGATAAATGGTATTGGTGAGGATGATGATGTTGGCAAAAGTCTGCTCTTCCTTACTGGGATCTAGGCAACTCTCCACCTCTTATTTCTCCAACAGCCAGCAGAACAGATTCTTTTTCCATTCTAGTCCTATTTTTTCTCTCTTTGTATTTCAGGAGTCACCCACTTGCAATCTGTTCCCTGGATCCAAAAGCCCAGCGTCTTCTCCTCTTGCCCGATCCACTCCTCCAATCCGGGGCAAAGCTGGCCCCAGTGGGAGAGCAACAGCAAGTGAGAAGGCTTGGGCAGCAAAGCTGTGGGTGAATGTGAGGGGAAAAGATGTGAAGCTGATGCTAAATTCCTCTACTCCTCTCCACCAGGTCCGCCTGCGCCTGTCAGGCCAGTATTGGCCCCACAGCCTCCAACCGGCAACTCTCAGCGCCTCTCTCGGCCCCAGGGAGCAGCTGCCAAGCCTTCCAGTCGACTGCCTGTTCCCTCGGCCATCCCCAGGCCTGCCAGCCGAATGCCACTCACCAGCCGGAGCGTACCACCTAGCAAAGGTGCCCTGCCTCCAGCCTCTCTGCCAACTCGGAAAGGACTTCCACGACCAAGCGCTGCAGGGCACAGAGGTGAGGAAGAGTGGACATAACAGTCGGAAATCAGGTGGAAGAATGCTTACCGTTGCCCAACTTGAATGCGCCATCCCAGAGCTGGGCACGGTAACCACTTTCTCTGTCTGTCTTCATTACAACTCAATTTGAAGATGGGGATACTGAGTTAGAGAGAGGATGTGGGCCCGGGCAGAGTTTGAACCCTGGTTTTCAAATACATTATTATTTTTTTTTTTACCTTGGGTGGGAAGAAACTCACTCTGAGAAGGTCACTTGAGCTCTCTAACTCATTTCTTTTGTCAACCCTCAAGTTCCTGTTACCCAGAGACTGAATCTTCCTGTCTCTGGTGCCACTCGTAGCAATCTGCAGCCTCCCAAGAAAGTTGCAGTCCCAGGACCTACCAGGTAAGACTGGTTGAGATGCTCTCTCTCCCCTGTCATCTGGGCTCCAGAAATGTTATGCGCATCAGCCCTGAGTCTTGTGTGGCAAGATGGGGATGAGGAGGGGAGCCTGGAGGGGTAGGGAGTCCCATTTCTTCCTTCCCTGAGAAACTTGAACTCAGCTGGGACAATTTAAAGCAGCTCTTCCTTCTGACTCTTTAGGTAAAGAGATCAGGACAGCAAGCAAGAATTCAGTAGCAAACCACTACAGTCACTGCCTGGGCTCACCTATACTCAGCCTCCCAAGCCCTTCCGTGGAAGACAGGCCCTGACTCTAGCAGATTCTGGCCCAGAAGCAGGAGGAAGAGATGCCACTAGGGCTGGTGCCCCAGGAATAAAGAGATGGGAGATGGGGTGGATTAGGGTTGAGCTGGAGGGGAATCAAACCCTGTGGGTCCAAAGAGGATTAGGGAAAAGAGGCCACCTCCCAACAGTGAAATAACAAGCAGAAAATGAGAAATGCGGGAGAATAGTCTGTCCTCATCCACCCCCACTCTTGTGTTCAGTCTCAGAGAGTTTGATAATCTTCCCAGGCATTGGTTCACTGGACATTTACATGTGAATGGCCTCTGTAGCTGGCTTCTGTAGCTAACCTCCTTGCTCTCTGAGGAGTGGCCCTGAATCACATCCTCTACTGGACGCAGGCCTGTTTGGAGAGGCAGAGGCAGGCACCTGGCCTCCAGAACTTGTTTCCTGTGAATTCTATGACTTCTAAGAGGCCAGTTGACAATAAGCTTACATTGGTCTGCATTTTTCTAAAATAAAGTGAATGTATTTTTCTAATCTCTGTATATGTAAAAGTAAATTCTCCAATTTCAAACAAATTTGTTGTAAACTATTATTCTGATGGGGGAGCCAGGATGAGCTTCCCTGGCTAGGGCCTAAATAGGCTGAAGGAGCTTTGTTGGCATTAGATGGGAATAAGCTGCTTTCTTCCAGGACTCATATGTTACCGAAAGGTCCAGATCAAGCTAAATATGTGAGTGAGGCTATCAAGGCAGGGTCTTGGTCAAATTATTATTTATATCTTAAGCTTGGGTGTCCTTTTCTGGCACGAGCACGGAGCCTTCTGAGAATGCTTCAACATCTAGTCGACTGTACTGATGAGATGAGGGGACCCTTTAGTGGGTACCCTGGCATTCAGTTTTGCAGACTGCTTCAGCAGAAGACCCTGGAACACCTTGTCACATTCTGCCTTATATCATTAGAATGGTTGGTCCTGGACCTGAGGGCTGACACTAGGTTTTATAAACCTTTGCTGTGCCTAATGTTATGATTTGTATGTGGTATAGAATTTCATTTGTTGAAAAATGATGGTGAGGGGTTGTTGAATGAATGACAGACTCATTTAACAGATTTCACTAAGGGTCTCCCTTATTCTCACAGCCATTGACTTGCAACCAGAACCAATTCCTTGGTTGTTGTTGCTTTTTTTTTTTTTTTAAAGATTTATTTATTTATTTATTTATGATAGAATGAGAGAGAGGCAGAGACACAGGAGGAGGGAGAAGCAGGCTCCATGCTGGGAGCCCGATGTGGGACTCGATCCCGGGACTCCAGGATCGCGCCCTGGGCCAAAGGCAGGTGCTAAACCGCTGAGCCACCCAGGGATTCCCCCCCACTTTTTTTTTTAAAGATTTATTTATGCTTGGGATTGCTGGGTGGCTCAGTGATTTAGCACCTGCCTTCGGCCCAGGGCGTGATTCTGGGGTCCTGGGATCGAGTCCCATTGTCTGGCTCCCCGTGTGGAGCCTGCTTCTCCCTCTGCCTGTGTCTCTGCCTCTCTCTCTGTGTCTCTCATGAATAAATAAATAAAATCTTAAAAAAAAATTTATTTATGCTAGAGAGAGAGAGCACCAGGGGGTGGAAGTAGGGGCAAAGGGACAAGGAAAGAGTCTTAAGTAGACTCTATATTAAGCACGGAGCCTGATGTGGGAGCTCGACATGAGGCTCGATCTCACGACCTGAACCGGAACCGAGTTAGATGCTTCACCGACTGAGCCACCCAGGTGCCCCTGATTTCTTCTGAGTTTTGAGAGAACTTCTCTCTTTGAAGGCCAGGTGATGACTTAAGCCAGTAGGCAACTGTGTAGAGGAAGTGGTGTGTCAGCTGAGGCCCCCCCCACCCCGCTGCCTCCCACATATATATGCCCATCAGCATCCTATGTAGGCACCGAAATGTCCTTCCCCAGACAGAGAGGCCTCCACTGCTGTCTTCTTGTTTGTGGCTAATCTTCAGGTTCACTGAACACATTCACCTGTATCACAGTGGCAGCTGCCTAGGCGTGCACCCTCTCCCTGAGCCTCTTGCAACAACTCCTACAGCCTCCGGGATTCTAAGAATTGAGCTGGAGGAGGGGATGTGGAAACACACTGAGTACTTGGCTCTGGAGAAATCCAGCAGAGGCAAGAAAACCTCAGGTGTGTTCTCCAGCTGAGACCTGCGCTGGCGTCTGGCGAGGAGAGGAGAGCCGGTTGTGACTCCCTGATGGTGCCCGCTCGCCTAGGCAAGCCCTGAGGTGTGGCCAGCAGATGGCACATGTGTGACTTGGGAGGCAAAATGAGTGGCAGACCCACAGGCTGTTGCCACCTGGTGGCCAGAAAGGACGAGGCATGTTCCTTTCCCCTTTTGGGTCAGTCTGGAATTTCGCAACCCCCACCTCGCCCGCCTGCACAGCTGCCCCCATGGGCAGCTACCTGCTTACTTCCTGCCCTTTGGATCTGGCTGTTTTTCTCTTTATGAACTCTAGCCCTTCTCCCTCCCCCCAGTAGCAACAATGAGGAAAGCCAACATTCACTGGCCTCTTACTATGCACTGTGAACTGTTCTAAGCACTTTACGTGTGTTAACTCATTTAATTCTCATAAAAGCTCAATTAAGCGGTCGCTATTATCATACTCGTTTTGCAGGCGGAGAAACTAAGGCCCAGAGAGATTAAGTCACTCGGCCGTCTGGAGGTTTGTGCTCTTAATCACCACCCTCTACTGCCCCCATATTAACCCCCTAAGTAGTTTGCTGAACAGACCTTTGAAAAACACAACACTTGGGAATAGGAGTAATGTTGCAGAACATGTAGGTGGCTTGAGTGTGAACTGTCACTTCATTTCCAATGGTAGAACACACAAAATGGCCCAAGAGGAGTGGCGTCAGGAGACACCAAGTCACTGAGCCACTCAGCCACTCACCTCTGCTCTCCCTGCCTCCTGAGTTCTGTCCCCAGGGCTCAGCCCTAAGGGGCTGCACTGAAAACCTGCCTGCTCTTTGCAGCCTCTCCAGGAATACAAGTCCCTCCAGTGCTGGGGAGAAAGAGCCTTTCCTGCCACCTGCCACATCCTCCTTGGACATTCCAGGACATGGGGTCTGTGCTGATGAGGCCATCCAGGGAGCACTGCTGGGGTGTCAGTAGCAGGGCTAGCTCAGTGGCCGCTTGACATCCGGGGCCCCTGTCCCCCAGCCCTCCTAGGACCCTGGCTGCTCTTATTTTCCAGAGCACTGCACAGAAGCACATGATGACAGAGCTCAACCCGCACAGAACTAGAGTTTATTCAGTAGTATGGGGAAATGAAAAAACAAACACAAAACCCTACTGTATTTACAGTAACAATCAAACTGTACAATCTGATGGTTAGTATCAAGTTAGCATCCAGCATCTTTGTATTTTTTAAGTCAAGTCATCAGTAGTTAAAAACCAGTTAAATTTTTAACCCTTTGTAGGAATTGCTGAGGGGAGAGTTCGCGGGGAGAATCCATGGCAGAAAAGCCAGCAACCAGCCTTACAAATGAGAAATAGGAACTTTTTTTTCCACCCATAGCCTCTTTTTCTAGTCACCTGCTCCAGAGGAAAGTCAGTGACAAGTCCGTAAAACATGCTCAGCGCAAATGGTACCTCAAACAGCGGTTGGCAAACTGAGACGGCGGCGGGAAGAGAGGAGGCAGGAGGTGACAGCCTAGGACAAGGGGAGGGCCTCAGGCCCCTCGCCAGGGCTGCTGGGCACACACCCAACCTGTCTCGGCCACATCGGACCCCTGGGACCGGACATAAACCCATCCCAACACAAAAAGCAAATAAATAAAAATATATATTAACTTTCTCTTCGCAGGGAGCTGGGAATGGGCGCCGGATGGGGGCAGAAAGAGGAACAGGACCCGGTCCTTTGAAGAAGAGAGCCCATTCCCAAAAGGGGTTAAAAATCAAACGTTTTTCAGAGGCCACAGCAGGTCAGACAAAGTGGTATTTGCCTGATCCTGGGCGGTGGGGGGGTGGGGTGGACACCAGCACCCAGACTTGAGACCTGTGCTCGAGACTTCTGGGGGGCAACCGAGCCAGCCCTGAATTTACTCTTCCTCCCCGTCCCACCCCCACCGCACGGCAAAGAAGCGCAACTGAACACATGACTGGCCTTCCCCGGGCGGGTCAGGCAGGGAAATGAAGCACTTTTGGGTCAGCAAACTGAGCAAATGCCTGGGCTGCAGCACATGGCCAGAGTCCAGGGAAGGGAGAGGGACTGGGGTGGCCCGGCCTCTGCCCAGGGGCACGGGTTCCCCTCAAAATGTGTTCATGCAGCATTTGGGGGTTTGGGGGGCGCGGAGTCCTGCCCCCTTGCCAGACAGGGCCTTTTCAGTTCCTGGGCAGGACGGCACAGGCAGGGTGCGGCATGCCCTCGCCCTGGCCGCCCTCGCCATACTGAGGCCTGCCGGTGCAGCCCACAGGGCCTGATGCCCTGGGTGCGCGTGGCTTCGTCCTTTCCTTTTGGTGATGGCAAATGAGGGGCAGGCCCCCCACGAGTCCCTCTCCTCCCAGAGGCACAGCAGATGGGAAACCGAGGAGAGGCTGGGAAGTATCCTGGGAGGTCCTATCCTCTTTGGGAAGGGGAAGGGGAGTCAGTTTCCAGCATATAAAAAAAATTAATCCCTGAAGTCATGAAGAGTGGAGATCCTTTTTTAAATTCTTTTTTTCCTCTTTTCTGAAAAACTTTGTCTTGGAGATGTTGGCCCCAGGGTTCCAAAGTGCAGTGAAGGGGATGGTGGGGGAGGGAGTTGGCACTAGATGGCCTTGGGTGGGGTGCGACCCCTCCCGGCAAGGCCCGGGCTCCTCAGATGGACGTTTCATCGCTGCTGCAGGCAGGCGTTGGGGAGCAGGGGCAGGATAAAGCACAAGACAGGAGTAGGGGCATGAGTGCAGCTGGGGAAGGTAAGGGAGCCTCAGGGGTGTAGGAACCACCGGCCCAGGGTTAATGCAGGAAGTTAAAGAAGAGAAATCTGGAGAGGCAGGAAAGGAAAGTGACAGAAAAGGCAGACAGTGAATTAGTCAGAGCTGAGAAGACAGTGAGAAGCTTTCACCAGGAGGAGGAAACAGGAAAGCAACCCCAGCTCCCCACCCTCCCTCACTGTGCCTGCTGCAGGCCAAGCTGAGCCGGGGCTCCACAGTTTGGGGGCAGGTCACGGTGGAGCTGGGCTACACCGGCCCATTCACCCCCCAACCGCCTGCCAGGGCAGCCCAGGGAGGCCCAGAAGCCGCTCTGAGCCCAACCAGGGCCTCTGTGGGGCCGCACCCTGTCCCACCCAGCCAGACCCACTCACTCGGAGCCTGACGAGTCCTCATCCACCGTGCCCGCCTTGATGCTCATGGCGATGGGCATGACCCCATTCAGCTGCTCCTGGAGACTCTGCCGGGGTGGAGGGCGGGGAGGGGGCCCGCCCCGGCTGCCCTCGCTGGCTGAGGAGCCCCTAGAAGACCCTGTGCCTTGCTCCAGGGGTAGCCGTAAAAGGCTGCTCTTCTCACTGATGGTGGGCAGACACTTCTTCTTGAGGATGCCTGTGGGCCAGGGTGGGAGGGCGGAGGGGGCAGGTGCCATGAGGAGCAGGCGGTAGGATCATGGGGCTGCCCTAGAGAGCCCTACCAGCCACAGGACAAATGTGAGGTTGCTGGCCGGGGGAGCGTGGCAGCCGGTCATGCCCCACTCACCTTTGTGAGGTTGGGCAGAGGGGCCTGGGAGGGGGCCAAGGGACCCCTCCCGAGGCAGGGCATCTCCATTCTCCCACGGGCGCTCCTCGGAGGCCCCATTGCCACTACTCTCCTTTGCTGTGGTCCCAAAGTCTCCCGGCCAGGGGGCCTTCCCCGGCCCTGAGCCCCCATCTGGTGGAGAAAGGAAGTCCATAAGGCCCAGAGAAGGCAGACAACTAGGAAAGTCACCACCCAGGGAATCCCTGGCTCTCTCCCCTCCCACTGCCCCTCAAAGGCCACGGCCCTGGCGCTGGCCCACCCTTGGGGGTACTGTGCAATGGCAGCCTCTCAGCGCCAGGCCCCAGCAGGCTGTCCCAGCCCGGCTCTCCAGGGAAGACGGCCTCCTCCTCCTCCTCCTCCTCCTCCTCCTCGCTGTCTGATGAGTGAGTAGAGGCATAGGAGCCACTCTGGTCATCTTCCAGGGACAGGTCGCTGTCAGAGTCTGTGTCAGGATCTGGGAGATGAGGGAGAGATCAGAGCTGACCCACCCACCTCTGCACACCCTCCACAAAAGCCAGGCAGCTGCCCCCCACTGGCCAGCAGGAGCTTCCTTTCTCACCATGCTGCTGGTCTTGACCTTCCAGGAATAGGCTGCCTGGGTCCCCCAGGCCAGGGGGCCCTTGGCCAGGGTTCAGTGTAGACTCTTCCCTGAGAAGACAAGACCATGCTGGAGGGGTCACCCATCCCCTTGCCCAGTGTCCCATTCTCTTCTCTCTCCCTGATTTCCCAGTTCCCACCTGGTGCTCCTTGCAGGGAGCCCGACATGGGACTCCATCCCAGGTCCGCAGGATCAGGCCCTGGGCCGAAGGTGGCGCTAAACCGCTGAGCCACCCGGCCTGCCCCCTCCTGCTTCTAACGGAAGCTGCCACCCTGTGAGCTAGTCAACTCCCAGCCTGGCCAGCCTGGCTTCCAACATGTGTGGGCTCTTCTCCCTCTGCTGGTGCTCCCAACACCAGGGCTCACCTCAGCAAGAAGGGGATGTAGCTGGGCTGACTCTTGCCCGAGCGGCTCGCGCTGTGCAGAGAGCCGGCTGAGTCTCCGTAGGGCTGGTACAGCCGCCCGTCTGCATAGGGGCTGGGGCAGTTGTAGGACTAGGCAGGGGACAGAGAACTCAGTAAGCAGGGAAGTGGGACGGGGGAAGGGTGGCGAGTGGAGGGGCCAAGGGAGCTTGCCCTGAGGTCTACCTCCCACACACCCAGGTCTGGAAGAGAGAAGCCCGTCTCTGCTGCCCCTTCCGTATAGGGCCGAGTAGTGGCTGTTGCTCAGCCATAGCCGTGCCAGCCCTATGCGCCCCAAGTATCCCAGACTCGGCTATATGAAGGCTTCCTGGTAAAAAATGGTATAAGGAATTATCTCCCAAGAATGTGCTGGCAGACAGAAAGTTTACCAAGATTCGCCAAGTATTCTCAGATGCTGGGTATCCATGGCTGGATCCCATCTTGTCCACTTCCTCGCCTTATTCCTCCTAGTTCCATCCACTCCCATTTCTCCTGAGTCAAAATCCTCCTCCCCACCCCACCCGCCAGCCCTCTCTTCCCACCAGCCCTCTCTTCCGCTAGCCCTCTCTTCCCACCAGCCCTCTCTTCCGGGGCCTCACACACATACCATTTCACCACCCCTTCCTCCTTCCAGGAAAGAATGTAAGGAGGAAGAAGAGGCGGGGCAAAGGCACAGACAAGGAGCTCCATGGGGCTCCTGCCTCTTCCTCCCCACCTCAGACCCCTCCACCTCACAGTCCCCAGCTCCCTCACCGAGGTCAGGGTGGACTTGGTGGTGAGTGCAGGATCAGGGCTGGGCTTGCGGCTACAGGCAAACTTGAGTGCTTTCCGGACCTCTTTGCTAAGCACCACGTAGGAGAGGAAGATGAAGGGGCCCTGGTGGACAAAAGGCAGCAGCAGCTAAGTGTGTGTGTGGCCCCGCCACAGCTGAGCCGCACCCCCTCCACCCATCTCCATGGGGCTGAGCCAGCTACCTGGACGCAATTGCAGGCAGCAAAGAGGTAGTGGAAAAGGAGGGTGTCGCTGTTGACAGAGAGCAGCGCCAGCAGCCACGTGGCGCTCAGCAGCAGGAGGACAGCAAAAGACGGCCTCAGGCCCGAGCTGGAGACAGACAGGCTGTGAGCCCAGTGGCCTCCTACACCCAGGCCTGCCCCCAGCCCGCTGCCCAGGCACCCGCCCCCTGTACTCACACAGGGCCTTTCTTCTCAAAGCCCTGCCGCTGGGCAGCACAGGAGGCACGGGCCGCCAGGATGTACAGAAAGACACTCATCTAGCAGGGGAGGGGGTGGGGGGAATCGTCAGGGGACAGGCAGCTTGTACCCCACCCCACGGGGCCCAGGTCCTGAGGACACATGCAGCCTGCTCACCCCACTTTCTAGCACCTACCGAGACAGCGAAGGCCACGGGGCCAGCAAAGCTCCAGATGAGCGTATCATAGATGGAGAGCCAGCAGAAGTCAGGGTTCCCATAGCCCTCAGGGTCCAGGCCCACAGCCAGACCTGGGGGTATGGTGACAACAGCAAGGGAAGGGGTGGTGGGGCCTTGGGAATTGGTCAGGTATCACGTGGGCTCACGGGGCCGGGGTGCCGAGGATGGAGGATTCCACCCACCATGTGTCCACACCGACCTCTCCAGGATGGGTGGGGGGAGCCCCAGCCCCTGGTGGGGAGCCTTGGGGGGCTGAGAGAACTCAGACCGGGGCATGGGGATGTGGGTGGGGAGAACAGGGCACGAAGGGAGACCCAGAGCCTAGAGATGTAGAACCTCAGGCCGAGGAAGGGGTGGGACATACCTGTGATGAAGGCGGGCACGCCCCAGCCCAGCATGTAGTAGAAGCGCATGGGGCCAGCATTGACATCACGCACTTCAGTGAGGGCCCGATAGAGGTGCAGGGCCTCCAGTAGGCCCCAGGAGAAGGTGCAGAGGTACAGGAAGTGCAGCAGGATGGCAATGACTGTGCAAGCAAACTGGGGGGCCCGGCCATGCCAGGTCAGTGACCAGGGTGCACCCAGAGCACAGATTCTATCTTGTTAGGCAGCGGGGAAGGTCGGGGTGTCAGGTGGTGCTTCGGGAGGTGTGGGCCA